AGTCGAGAACTCGACAACGAATCGTCTCCTTTCTCTAATAATTTAATAAATCGTAAAAGCTTCCGCGCTTCGCACGGGAGGGGGTAACCTAAATTCAGACGAGGATAAAGAGTCGAGAACTCGACAACGAATCGTCTTCTTTCTCTAATAATTTAATAAATCGTAAAATTTTCCGCGCTTCGCGCGGGAGGGGAAAACTGAATTCAGACGAGAATTATTTTCGAAAACGGTACAACGAATCGTCTTTTTTCTCTAATAATTTAATGAAACGTCAAAGCTTCCGCGTTTCGCGGAGGGGGGGGGGGGGAATCGCCCCTCCCTGCACCGACCCCCCCCCCCCCGCATTACGTCACTGTTGGTCACCATTACGTACCAATATTTGGCTCGCAAAATTTCAAATTTGGGCCCCCCCCCCCTAAGAAATCCTGGATCCGCGCCTGATAGTATAGAATACAACAATCATTGCTGGATCACTTAACTGTGATTTCTTTCTAATTATCTGAGTCTGCGAGGATTTAGGAGATATAATTCAGAAACATCGACATATCTGTGTTGTGAAATTGATTCCACTATTCAAACATTGTCTGATATAACGGAAAGAGAGTGTATCTAATTCCAATGATGACTGGGTTATAATACATAGCTACGATATCTTGATCATCAAAGGATATATCATACATCATAATAATTATTTTATTTAATATTTGTTTCATCAGATACTGAAGAGGAATTGGTTTTAAATTTCAGGACGATAATTTTCAAAGGGGCATATCTAAACAACGACAACTGTTTCAATGTACTTATCTTTGTAATTTTATTTGATGCAAATAGTTGATCGTGTTGAAAAGTTGCAGCTGACGATTTGATCAGAAACGCAACAGTTTAAAACATCATGACAACAGAGGAAGCATTTCGTCATCGAAGAATTACAAAGTATTGGACAGATACCTCAAACTTTGAAATAATACAACTTGTTTGCAAACCAAAAACCTTGAACTGAGGGGGCATCGTAATTAGACAAAAAATAGAAACACACAACAGCGGTGAGTCCTGTATGGGGGCTTAGAACTGTCACACACAGGGATATTTTAGTATCGTTATTTCGTCGCAGCAAAGTGACTAATATTTTTCAAAGCAGAGCTACTTGCCAACAACGGTAACCCCCTTGCCATTCACTTCGCTGTGCTATTATTGTGTAGGGGGAGGAAGAAGGCTCGGATCCCTTGCCAGGGCCAATGGAAGCAAGCAGTGCCTTCTAATCAGTCAGATTATATCACTTATATCATATACTGTATTCGGTGTTCTGATCAAAGTTGATCTTTCAGTCTGTCAAGAGAGCGGGAAGGAGGTTTTCGTCTGCTACAATGGAATTACGAATCGTGTCTGTGCCGTGGAAAATTTGGTGGAATTTATTCTCAGCAGTCATTTTAGTACTTCAATTCAAACGTTCTTTCGGGGGTAAGGAAAGACTTTTAAACTTACCTTTATAATATTCTTGTACACTGTCTTTTTCTATTGCATTCTAACGTTTTCTTACAACAGTGACACGACAGAAAGTGCGATTACATGAAATTAACTCATTTGACTACGCAAAAATTATCATGGCTTGTAGCAATTATTATTGTTGGTACTGTTAATAATTATTCCCTTTGAATTGATTTGATTTGATAAATCATTGAATGTATATGTATTAAGATTTTCATCATGAGAAGCCGTGAAATGTATTCTTTTGACTTTCCTACAATTTCCTTTCTTTCGGGTGATCATTTTCCTCTGTCATCTCTCAAATTAATCTACATGTACATAAATAACAATTGGGAACTTTATTCTATAAATTTGGAATCATTTATACTTTTCCAAGACGCTGGCCAAGATCATTGCCTACGATGATTTTTTAGCAAGTCAATAAACGTGACATATGATCATCGACTGCATAGCCAAAGACTGTGTTATAGCCTCTCATAGGGGAATGGGGGAAAGCGGCAAAAGGAAGGGGTTGGTTAGGGCTTCTGATCCTACAATAAACACGTCACGATGATCATAATATTTTCTAGCCACGGTAGCAATGTTCGCATGTATGCTGACCCATCTGCAGTGATAACAAGACAAGTTAATGGCGACTGGGAATAACATTTATTTGTTCATGTCATCTTTGCTAATCATTCAACTTCTAAATGAAATGAATACCGTTATTGTAAACGCTACTTTGCTAGTTTTCAAGGACATAATGATGAATTGATTACGGAGCTTCATTTTACTCTGCTGGGGATTCATTATATTATAACCTCGAGTTCTTTTCTTTCAATGCAATTTCTGAGCCTTGTGCACAATAGAAGAATGGAGAATTGGCACTTTAAGATGTATTGTGAACAACTGTCGTGAAGAACTCCCACTAGAACTCCAATGTGCCAAATTCTTGACCCTTTTCACCTGACACATCCAAGGTTATAGAGGCTAATTAATGACAAATAACATGTTTTAAAGTTTATTATGTCATTGTAACAAAACTTAACTGAGAAAAACTGAAGTCTTTTTTTTTTTTAAAGTCAGATACCTGTTTTGTCCTTAGAACATGACGCTCGCGACTGGCATTAGTATCTTTGCGCAAATTACCAAAGTGATTATCTTTATTCATTGTATTCATTATATTTTGGTTAATCAAAACATCTGCCCTCCTCTTTTCCTTTATAATGAATATTATTCAACTTTATTGTATTCTCCTCCGCCACTCCTTAATGTCTGTCTGCCATCGTTGTCTCCTTTACCGCACTCTTTCTATTTATGGGTGTGGGGAGGATAGCGTTGGCTTGTCGCCACGTTTTGGGAGACATGTGCCCCTGTCAAATAGTCATGGACCCAACGTGTGCTGCCATAATGTTAACGGCAACTTCGGAGTTGAATTGTTTTATTCTTAAGGTATACAATCTGCCTGTGTGCTCACGAGATCCCTTTCACTTTCTTTAAGACATAGTTAAGAGAGTAAGACCAGGGTATGTGAGTTAAACACCTCCCTGGTAAGACAGAGAAGGCTACTTGTCAACCTCGAAGGCATAAACTGTATTTTTAAGAATAGCTGAAGAAAAACTTGCATAATCATTTTAGATGTCAAGGAGACATCAGTAAGGAAGGGGTAATAGCCGGGGTAGGGGGTTATTATAGAAATTCATGTGGTGGAAAAAATACAAAGCGATCGTGATTCACCGTCACGTGGGAGGGTGGAATGCTCAGGGAATTAAGATCAGGATGTGAAAAAAATGATGAGGGTTTCAGTTAGACAAGGGGTGATAATGAGAGGAAATACATCGGAAGGGGAAAGAGGGGAGGGAATAGGGGGGGGGGAGAGAGAGAGAGAGAGAGATAGAGAGAGAGAAATGATGAGGGTATTGAGACAAGGGGTGATAATGAGAGGAAATACATCGGAAGGGAGAGAGAGGGGAGGGCAGAGAGAGGGAGAGAGAGAGAGAGAATGATGAGGGTATTGAGACAAGGGGTGATAATGAGAGGAAATGCATTTGAAAAGAGAGAGGGGAGGGTAGATAGATAGAGAGAGAGAGAGGGGGGGGGAGAAAAGGGAGGGTAGAGGGGTAGGAGGCGAGATATAAGGTAATTCGATAGAGTCTACTATACAAATGTGACCATGTCTATTAGTATGATCCTATTCTATATAATACTATACTCTACTATATTATACTATATTATAGCATGATAAACTATACTTAACATAATTATATACCGCACCATCTATTACAACCTCACTGCAGAGTATTAAATTGATCTTTCTTTTACATTTAAACCAGTTTTGGGATTTTTATGTTGTTTGAAAGGGAGATTTCCTATTTCTGTCAATTAACATAAAACAGTTAAGACATGAAATGGACTTTCGAATCAAAACATAAAATGTTATCACTGATTTTTATAACACTTTAATCATCGGTTTTGTTTATGAAGCCTCTTTGTAGAAAAGCCAAAACGACGGACAATTGGTACAAATATTTGAAAGTTAGATTCTGCACATTCTCATTTTGAAAATAGCCTAATTTATAAGCTGTTATACTCACATTAAAGTCACTTTGATAAAGTTTTTACATATTCTTTTGATTATTCTTATTTTTTCCCCGTTTGTCATTGATCTTCAGAACTTCGTCTTGGTGGAGGTAGTACGGCACGAGAGGGCAGGCTTGAAGTTGCCTACGAGAATAACATCCAACCGGGAAAGTGGGCCTCTGTATGCGGGGACGGCTGGACCAACGAGGATGCTATAGTGGCCTGCAATGAGGCGGGGTTCCCGGGCCCTGCTGTGGCTATCAGGCATGCTAAGGAGAAATATGGAGAGAGTTACCTCAATGTCATGCTTACCAATGTCAATTGTAATCCAGGTTTGTTACCCCAATCTTGTTTTGACTACACCGTTGCCCATACAGTTGAAATACTTGTTTTCTTACCTCTTTTTCATGACATGACTGTAACAAAGCATGTGGATTATTCTTGATAATTTTGTTTACATTTGCTCGGAACTATATTGATCAATCTAAACAATCATAGAGATTGATCTATAAGGTTCCGAGAATATATAAACATTATCTTTCAAGAATAAATCATATTGTCACATTTATTCTTAAGAATTTATTGAGAAAATGTATTAATACTTATGGGCAACTTTGTATGTGGGGTCGGGGTGGGGTGCATGTTCCCCATAAAGTGTACGAAAATAAACACAAAACATAAACAAAAACAAAAGGGCGACAAGACCAAAGAGGGAGAAAGGGAAGGGAAGACGATCACAAACAGTGGGAAAAAAGGTGGGTTGCGTTTCACTTCCACACTCGGGCCCCTCAATTTGTTCCCTCGTATTCCATCTGCATAGAAAGTGCGTTGCCCCCATACTATAGCCATCTATATATCATCTGTGTATAGATGACCCCGCCCCATACCAGAGCCATCTATACAGAGTTTGGCCAACTTGGTTTCACTAGGTCACAACATGGCGTAAATTATTTTGTTTTGTGCTTGCCCAACAAAGCAGTAGTCGCCAAATTGTGTCCAACTCGAACAGGGTTGGCCAAACTCTGTGTATAGATGGCTCTGCCCCATACGATACAAGTGCTCCCTCTACAGTTGAACTTTCACTACGCCACTGCAAGGAGGTAATATCCTCCCCACCTTCCGTTTAGATTCCCCATCAATCAAACTGTATTAAAGACCGTCAACACTACTGGGCCAGAAGGGATTAGACCACACAGCGAGGTCACTGACATGTGGCTATCTCATTAACTCAGCTCTCAACTAACATAAGAAAAAGAGGATCATGGGGCACCAACAGGCACCGATTGGGGAAGTTTTCTATATAGAGGGAGCAAGTAGCTACGAGTAGGACAGTGGGGGCAAAATATCAACTTCTCGGGTATTATCAAGCAATGTATATCAATCCTTATTAAATTACCGTTTAAAACCAAATAAACAATCATTTATCATCTCCTCACATTCACATCAAAACTTACGATCGCCCCTTAGCATTAAAAATTAGGAGAAAGTGTAATGTAGTTTGCTCAGCATTACGAGCGTCTGTAGAATGACGCCTAGTTGGAATGCTCCCCAGGGAGTGGAGAATGTACATTCATTGTGTGCGGGCAAGCCTGAATCCGATAACCGAGGCAATGATATATCTGCAAAGCTCTCAGAGACATTATGTATTAAGCGCTATATACATGTATCTAAAAGCGGAATATGTATAGGTTAATTATTATAATGTGTCAATGCCAGGACATCGACACATTTCTTACAATAATCAACCTATAAAACCCTAAAAATTACAACAGCAGGCACAATCTGGTAAACCCGATTACTAATAAAACATATAACATTTCATGTAATATTATATTAACACTGCGACTGTATGGCTCCGAACTACGACCAACATACAAAAAAGGCTTAGTTCATTCATGATATTTTTTATGTACAGAATATTATTTGTCATTTGTTAGAAATTTAACCTCACTATTCAATTACTAGAAGTCATCGAGTTGGCAGAACTAAAATGTCAACCCTATAGGCGTGACATTATCTGTCATATCACATGTCGTAAGCAGACACCTTACATGAGGCAATGATGCCTGAAAAGAGTATTCAAGAGATTGACACAGAACCACAAGACCGATTCAATTTCATCAAAAAATATAAAGTTTCTTAAAATACACTGTGCAACAATATATAAGATTAATACTCGAAATCGACTCAAGTTTATGAATTAAAGTTCTTCATGAAATGCTGAACATTATAATACTTTAAAACCGATCATTTATCACTAATTATTATCCTTGTTAAGTTACGTTTTAAATGTAACTCAAAGAATAAATGTATAGGCCTAGATCGCAATGCAATCCAAAATAATCCTGGTCAATTGATTGAAAAATAAAGCAATGAGGCAAACGGTAGAGGACATAAATATGTAAATAATCAATCAATCAATCAATCAATCAATCAACAACACATTCACAAGGCCTTTTGAAAATTCATTTTGTTGTTGTTACAAACTGTCGCATATTGAAATGTACAAACGTTACAATGACTTATTACTTATTACCAAAAACATGATTTCTATATGGGATATAGTATTGAAAATTGACGTTGAGTTGATTTCTCGAAGTCTTTGTTATAAATTTAACAAACAAACAGTCAGCTGTTCAAACAAGCATTGTTACTATGCAACATTGCTTGCCTTGGAGTGTGAAAGGATTATTACTATTATCAGTGCTTTTTTTGGGGGGGGGGGGCCTGCAGAAAATCAAAAGTTTTATTAATAGATACGATTAAATGGAACGAAAACTAGCCTGTCATTAAATTTCATCAGTTTGTATATATGTATGATATACATTTCAATTTTGTACTGAAAATACTGCCAACCTTGACTTGCTTTGTATAGTTATTGCCATGCCGAAATACAACAGACTGCATTAGGAAAGGAACAAATCATACATCCATGACTGGGTTATAATTCGAATTAGCCCTGTTGAAGTAAAACATATCAATACCTCTAACGGAGCCTCTTCCCGAGTCAATTATATCATGACTCATGTCTGCAATGTGAAAGTAGTGCATTCTACTTTTTTTTCCTTTTTTTTAAAACTTTTCTTTTTTTCCCCCTTTTCCCCTTCAATTCAAATCTTTATTCAATCTGTATAAAACAATTTACAATGACAATATACAGTAATATAATGGTTTGGACCCATAAGAAGAACAAAATCTACTTGTAATCGGGGCCCTGTAACAAACAAGAACAAGATAGTGGTCATAAATAATAAACTGTAAAAGACTTGCATAATACAAGCACGCATATACATTTTGAGTGACTACTTCTTTTGATCTGTGCACTTTACAAGAAACAATTAGTCTTCCAATTTCCGATCTGAAAGTTTGATTGTGATATTCTCAGGTTCATGGTTATGTGAAAACACTACCATATTTCACTTTCTAAGCGTCATTATGCCCATGTTTCTACGATTTAAAAGCTTGATTGTGATTTTCTTCTCAGGTTCATGTTTCCGTGAAACTCTCAGGCTTATATGTTTCACTTTCTGTGCAGCTTTACGTGCATGTTGCTACGTCTTAAAGGTAAAGACCAGTTATGGTCATGCGATTGCATTGTGAAAGAAACGTTGTGGAATCGATCAGAAAAGGTTGATCATCTAGCATCTAGCATCTGCAAGGTTCTGGAATCATCAAAATGATAAGAAATTTGGCCCATTCTTCGTAAAGTTACAAGCACTATACACAGAAAGATGTATATGGGACTACCCTATATCTCTCACAGACCATGAGAGAAACAAATTTACCAAATATATGAATTAGTAAGCGGTTTCCCGGAAAATTTTTCATCATCATGACTTTGTATTAGTCAAAACATATTCTTTCACATGATTGGTAATGAGAGCTTCCATTTCATTTTTTGAAATTGGGGCGTTCCAATACTGGTCTTTACCTTTAAAGAATACTTTCAATGAAGTAGAAATATCAATTATCACATGTCTTAAGCTAATTTTAATATCTTCCTCTTATTCTGGGAAAAGCTACTTAAAGGCATCATTTAACATTGTTAAATCTGAGATGTATAGCCCTACGTGTGATCAGTGTCTTTGATATGTTATAAATGTACATAGTGACGTCTTCAAAGAATCTATATACCATTCATCAAAGTCGCCAAAATGTTCGTAATGTGCACAACACATTCATAGATGTATAATAAGTAGGGCGCCGGTGTACCATGAGCCTCTATTTACAGGCGTCTTCCTGCAGTAGGAAGGGAGCGTATATTAATAGATACACACGTGTCGTTACCTGAAAGGGGGCCGTGATGCCGTCAGTCTCCGTGCTTTACTTTACAGAGTGTCTCGTAAAAAAAGGAGAAATATAGACGAAACTATCGAGTCGACATAGTGATTTGGGAGGGGAAGGGATATTATACAATTCATAGCAGTGAGGACATTAGTATCGCCTCGACTGTTAGATTGTTCCAAAGGTACTTTGTTGTGGGTAATTTTACTAATGCCCGAACAAAATTGTGTTTATTATTTTGTTTATAAAATGATGTTTATAACATGATTTTACTAATGACCGGTCATTAGTATTTACTAATGACCGCTCATTAGTAAAATTACGCTTTAGGCAAACTAAATGCTTGGTCATGTGTACGCTCTCAACCAATCATTTGATAAGGATCCGCTTCATCATCTTATAATAATAGATGTACACATGGTTACCTGAAAGAATACCCTAATTCGTCCTTGTTTTCACGAAGTGACGGTAGTGAGGAAAATCGTAATGCAAAGTGAATACATTTTTTTTTCACTACCGTCACTTCGTGAAAACAGCGACGAATTATTTACTAGTTAGTTTCCGTATAATATAGAGTGTATATATGGTGTCTAGAAAATATAGACGAAACATTGTTCATTTATAGACGCGCTTGTCAAGCGCGTCTATAAATGAACATTTCAGGCACTGCTATGATATGGAAGGGAACGGATATTAATAGATAAACATTTGGTTACCCGAAAAGATGCTGTGATGTCAGCTTAAATGCTATGACCTACAGGGTGTCTAAAAATAAAAGGAGAAAATGCAAAATGCGTTGTGCAGTTGTCTGTCATGAGTATCTAATTACAGACGTCTTCTGGGTAAGGGAAGGGAGCTGATATAAATAAATATACACGTAGTTAGCTGAAAAGATGTCAGATTGTCAGTCTCCATCCTATAATGTACAGGGTGTTTGTATAGAATACTCTAAATACCTTCCTGACAGGGGAAAGGGAGTGGGTGAAATCAACAGAGGTGCTAGTGGTTACCTTAAAGAAAGCCATATTAGGCCTACATCAAGTACAAGGTGTCTAGAAAATAAAGGAGAAACTAGCAAGTCTATACATGAGCATATTATTGCAGATGTTTTCCTGACTGGGGAAGGAAACAGATATTAATAGATATATACGTGACTACCTGAAAGGTTGTCGTAATTTCAGTTAATATTCTATGATGTACAGGGTGTCTAGAAAAATAATATTTGAAAAAAATGTATCAACGGAATTGTACATAATTTCAGACGCCTTATTTATAGGGGAAAGGGACGGATATGGATACACGTGGTTAGTGGAAAGGATGCTGTAAGGTCAGCCTCTTTATCATAGAGTTCATCATGTACAGGGTGCCTAAAGAGAACAAGGGGAGACTAAAGACGAGATTTAGATAGTCTAGTTGATTCTGTTGTTTCCCTTTCTTCCTTATTAATTCGACGAGCTGGGCAATACTACAACCTCTATTTAATCTCTTAAATTGATTCCCCCTCTAGATAACTATTAATGAAAACTATTTACGTAGATACCTGCAACCAAATGGATCTTTAAAAAAAAAGTATTTGTTTCACTTGCTCATATTTGACACCTTTATAACACCTTTTTATCCATCTTTGTTTTGTTCCCACCCCTACAGAAGCTCCAAGTCTGCTGGAGTGTCGGAATACATCCGCTGACGCCAGACCGTGCAGGACAGGTCGAGAGGCAGGAGCTATATGTCAAAGTAAGATTTACAATAAAATGTTTAATTTTATTTGACTTATTTCTCATTTTTATTTTTTCCACATTTACTTTATAATAAACAAATAATATAAGGCTATTGCAGTATCAAAGTAAAGTAATTACGTTATAGCGTAGACGTAAATGAAACATAGAGAAGGATTTTCACATTACATATCTTCATCGTGACAGAGCTACGGAGAGGAGGGGGGGGGGGGGGGGGGGGGCACGGGGCAAGTCAAGAAACCTATCATTAAGCTCGAAGGGAAGAGTATAGCCGAGCAACCAGAGTAAAGTAAACTCTTACATACGATATTTTGCATGTCATATATAATCATCACCCATTTGTTTATATCTGATGACATGTAAAGAATAATGAATTAGATTTATAGTTTTAATGTTTCCTTGAAAACTATTTTAATTAAGTAGCGAAAGTATCATATCATTAAGTGTGGGGGATAAGAAATCATTCACTTTTATTATTTGCGTAGAATTACCTTGACAGTCATTTGTACTGTAATAAAAACGAGATTATACATGTTAAAGAGAGAGTTTAATAGTTAATTTAATGGGTGATTGCAACCCAATTAAACCATCATTCATCCAAGCTTTTGGGCCTAAGTTCACGGAAGATTTACGGGCCGTTAGCTCTCAGTTAACTGCATCGTCCATACCAAAGACTAGGTATAAGTTCCCAGCCTGTTTTAACATTGATATTTCATGCAAATAGTGTCCTGATTTTAGTAATGCTTTCATAGCAGTCAGGTAAAACAAACCAAGTAAACAAACCAAACCAACCAATCACAAAGCTGCAACCTCTGTAGTACAGAGTTGTGACTTATATCAAGTTCAAGTTGATAACAATAACATCTGTAAAGCACTTACAGATGGTATTCTGTATTTAGCGCTATTTAGATCCAGATTTATCATTATTATGATTATGATTATTATTTTTTATAATTATTGTTATTGTTGTAGTTATCATTAATATCATTATTATTGTTAATATTGTTGTTATTTGTATCATCATTATTGTTATTGTTATTATCATTATTACTATAATTATTATTTGAGTCAGATCTTAAGTGTTGAAAAGACGTGGCCTTGGCCTCATCACTGATCTTGCTTAGAATGGCCACTGTCAGATATTCACTTTCATTCTAAGAACCATTGCTTTCTCCTCCCTCATCTCCTCCCTTACAGTGCCAGGCTACGAGGGATGTTATAAGATGGTGGAGGTTTCCCTCAAGAGCGATGCCTTCATGATCAGCAAGAACATGACCCTTGACACCTGCATGGGATTCTGTATGAACCGGACCATCCGCTTCAGTGGAGTATCAGTGGACCACTGTCATTGCTGGAACTACATGCCGAACACGACAACTGAACTCATGGCTGTTGCACACCACCACTGCATCCAGCACTGCCCCGCCAACCCTCTGCAGGTCTGCGGTGGCACAAAGGGGGTCCTCAAGACGTTTGCCGTTTACGACAGTACGTTGCGTTTATAATAATAATAATAATAATACGAAACAGTTATATTAATAGCGCTTGTGACATAAAAGTTTCAAAGCGCTGTACACAAATCAAAATTATGGAAATATTTCATCATGATTGATAATTGTTCTAAGATATTCGTTGATGCCACCAAAAGTACATACTGAAATTATATATGTTTTGAACATATAATAAAGGATGCATGACAAGTTTATTAGAAGAAACCTAGTCCTCATTTCAAATAGGTCATAAATAATTATTAACGGCTTTATGATTTGGTCGTGATTTATCAAATTGTAGTTTTACTTGTTCTTCAAAATGACTTGAAAAAAGAATCTCAATTACAAATTTAATTAAATGCATAAACAAATACACCTGCCAAAATGTCGTTGACCACACCCTTTTTTCTCTCTATCGACAGCATTCGTCGGGTTCTGTAACGACCCTGGTGACATCATGAATGGATTCCGTGACAGTGATTGGTTTCAGTTTGGTTCCCTAGTAACGTTCCAGTGTGATGAGGGTTATGTGTTGGAAGGCAGTCATAATCTGACCTGCATCGAGTCAGGTCCAGGATACGACTGGAACGATGCCTCACCGATTTGTGCCAGTAAGCTCCTTATCATCACACCAATAACCTCATAACAATGATTAAATATGAAAATACAGATATAGGAATTATATAATAATAGGGAGAGTTCGCGCCTTTTTGTCCTATACGTTACAAAGCACATCTAAGAAATCTCATATTTCAGTAAATCTGATGACTGTATCAAGACGACAGCCCAATCAGAGCTTGAATCAGACAAAACATCAAATCAAGTGATATACATGTACTTATGTTGATTTATAGTCGTTATTCTATGATACAATTCAATATCATTTAGGATAAAGCTTGGACTCATCTTACAATAATATGGTCTTACATAAGTATGAATAATGCTCTTCCTGTAATTATCACTACCTCCCGCATTGCCAAGTGTCCATTATTTAACCTGGGTCGAGAGGGCCAATGTGGGCATGGTGCATGGCACAAACACCGACCCTTCCACAGTGCTTCTAAAGCTCTTTCTTAGAGAATTTGAATTGGATTCTTACAAATACCACCGATTGCCTATTTTATAACCTTTTTAGGTTTTGAGCTATTATTTCAATCTCCTTCTTCCGACCAATAACTATTTATTTTTTTGGTGACGTCTACTTCCTCAAAAATGATAGTATCAATGCCGTTTGCATACATAGTTTAGAGTATTATGAAGCAAAACGAAAGAAGCTACCAAACCCACCTAGTTTCATCAAGTATGTATCGTCAAGAAAGTAGTATACCTGAAGGCCTCGTTACAAATCGAATTAGCTTCATAAATCGTGGTCACTAGGATAAGTTTACTTATTACCGATTAATTTTCAGAATATTTGCATTTTACTGACAATAATTGCCTAGATTACCCCCTGATTATACTGACTTGTATTTAGTTTCAATGGCACAAACATGCTATAAATAGTATCAGTTTCGTATAATCAGTTCCGCAATTTGTCTAAATAACCTTGCCTTTCGGGGGTATTAAATTATTAAGTAGCAGTGATATAATCTTATACAGAACATCCAAGAATCGAGCTAAGGGTTGAGCTGAACACCCCCTCCCATCATTTTAAATAAATATAACTTCCACAGCTCACAGGGGCTATGGCATGGAGCCAATCGAGGTATTTTCCGCTCCCCTTATTGTCAAACAAAAGATACACTACTGCGGAGTGCACTTACATTTCGACTAGCGGACAATTTTGAAATTGTATGCGATGTCGAAAATATGGTACCAATAGTGTCCATTACATCCAATGAGAAAGCGCATTCAAATAGATAAAGAGTATATCGAAAGTATGAGACAAATTTCATTGAAAATAGTTATTATCACACTCATAGACTGTATTCGAAATTAAAATCTAACATTGGGAAAAATCATTATTCAAGCCCATATTCACTATAGGATGACAAGATAATACATAAGGTAAATTTAAACGATTTTGTATATTGATACGTCTTTTAAAAGCTGGAGAAACACGTTGATATTTGATTGCTCGATTTACATTCAGACATCAGCTTCTCTTGTGAGAATTGTCTCTTCTGTCTTTGAATTGAGATTATATATCCATCTATTGTTTCCTAAGTGTGATTGGTTTATATTTTCACTTTCAGGACTTATTGTGACGACACCGCCTCCTACTATGCTCACAGGAGAAGGCGGTATCTTAACCGATCTTAACGGAGAGCAGAAACTGGAAGGTAATTTTAACCTCGTCGTCAAATTATTCTATTCTTAGGGAATGGCAGGGGTCATATGAGATTTGGTGTGTAATACGACTGAAAGGAAAACAATTTATAATGGTTTTTTTTTTATATCGATGAATCGGTGTGAAAAATATTGTTTCTGGGAAATATAAAAGTGTTTCAATCTCAAAATTAGAACTGATCGTTGTTTCGTGGTTCTCTTTTGTTCTATTCAAACTCTCTCTCTCTCTCCCTCTCCCCTCTCTCCTCTCTCTCTCTCTCTCTCTCTCTATCTCTCTCTCTCTCTCCCCCCTCCCACCTCTCTCTCTTTCTCCCTCTCTCCCTCTCTCCCCCTCTCTCTCACTTGACTTAGTTGAGATCTTGTTCTGTTTTATAAAATTTTGTTTGCGTCGCTATATTTTCATGTCATCATTTTAAGGACAAACATCCTTACAACTGTATATGGAGGAGAAATATTATATAACTTTTCATGAGTATTCAAGTTTCCATTTTAATGAGGTATGAAATGATGATATTGAAGATTATCTGAAAAATGTGTTAGGTGGTAATTATTTTTAAAAAATAACGAAGTTTATAATTTGAAAGTAAATGTTACAAAAGTAATTTTGAATTTTCTACTTTTTTCTTTTCAGTACTTTATGTTGGTATTGTTGGTGGTAGTGTTGGTCTCTTGCTCCTCATCGTTATCATTGCATTCGCTATAGCATGTTGCAAATCAAGAAAGAAAAAGTAAGTACCATCTCAACTCACTCAAAGACATGAAGATAATATTGACTTTTCATCTTAAAGTACGTGTTTCCTGTATAATCATAGTAATTGTTTCCCTTTAAATCAAATTGTTGTAAAATGATAAACGAGTTATAATTGAATAAATGACAAGTCTATTTTCGACGAAAGCAGAATCGTTGCAAGCATGAATTTAGGTTGTTTTGTTTGAAGGGACAGTCGAGTTCTTGTTTACGACCGCAAATGCATTCAAAGTGCAAGGTTATTGCTCTTATTCTTATTTATGACATTTCTAGTACCCTTCTAGTGCCTAAAATTGCTATGAAGGTAATATTTTAGACCCCAAAATGTGTGAAATTTAGATTTCGAACCGAGTGGGTGGCCATGACCACGACCTCTCGATTTTGATCAAACAAAGATGAATTTGTCATTTAAACTTTCAAATTTGACACTCAGTTTTTCATTATCTCACAAAAAAATATTTTGTGTAACGCCCTCTATACCAAACCTCAATTATACCTTTGATATTCTGGATATATTAGTTGTGATTTCATTACTGCTGAGGCTATAAATGCTGATGATAACAATACTACTACGAAAACATTTTTTGCTTCTCATCATACTTCAGTTCTCAACAAATATGATTTTTTTTCCTCGTAAATCAAAGCCATAATGTGAAACTCCTTTTTGGTGTGACCCGTCAATGTTTAGTTGTTTGACATCTCTTTTTTCATTGATTTCGTGTTTATCAGGGTAAAGACGTTGATTAACGAGGACGATGAGGAAGCACAGATGAGCCGACTGAGCAAAAAGAAAAGAAAGAAATCAAAGAAAACAAAGAAGGTGAAGAAGAAGCACAAAGAGCGAGATATTGATGAGAAGGATAAAGACGAGCTCGAACTCGAAATTGACTCGGAAGACGACGGCGACAATGCAGACGAGCCAGACAAAGACGATTATGATGAGGAAGAATCAAACGTCAATGAGAACAAAGCCAATGCTAAGCTAGACGTGGGTCCTATCGCTACAGCCGATCTCAGCTATTACCAGACAGAACAGGATCAAACCAGTAAGAACAAGAACAAACCGCTTCCCTCCGCCCGCGGACAGGGACGACCAACGTCGAGCAGCAAACCGGCTAAATTCAACTTCATCGAAACAGATCAAAGAAAGAATTCGAAAAGGAGTAGAGGTGGTATGATGAAAAATGTCTTGTTTGTAAAAGGAAAAGGTGACAATGCTTCAGATGTTTTGCTCACAGATCCATACTAAAACTATGAAAGTGATAATAACTAACATTCGTAACAACGATAACGAAATGACGAAGTTTAAGTTTCTTCAGAAAAAGCAATGAAGCACACGGGTTTTCCTAACATTCTAACAAAAAAGTATAAGTCCGTTAAAAGACAGAAGGGCATTATCTCTGTTTCATACTACAGTCAAACCTGCTTTAGTGACCACCTGTCTACAAAGACCACCTGTCTACGAAGACCACTTTTTGTGTTTCCCTTGGGCGGTCGCTGTAGACAGGTTTGACTGTATATGGTTTAATCCCTTTCTAGCTCTAAGCAGACGGATTATAGCCTGAGGTATAGAAATTACTAAAATAATTATAAGACTTCTAGGAATCGGAATCCATTGGACCAAGGCCCCTTCAATCAAACTCAAACATCCGTGGGCTGACTCAGCCATTTGTCTAAAACTACTCCTAGTATTTAAATAATAATACGTTATACATCTTTACCCTAAAGTAATGTAAAGTCTGTTATAGATAGGGGCAGCATTATCGCAACTATACTTTTGGAAAATCAACCGAAGGCAATAACAATGACCTTGTACGTCTACTTTTGAAAAAATGCGAACAATACAATGGCATATTACGTAACCGAATATGATTTCTATGGGACATAATTATAATAAGGTATTGAAAATGCCCTGAGATGATTTTCGAAAGTAGTTGAATGATTGCTTTTCCGAATATTAAAACCCCAACAGTAAGAATTATAAGATGCTAGCATTGTATTCATGTTGGAAATTAAATGTATCATGTAGCCTTATTCAATGGGTTTGTAGATCACTGAAGGCTAATGCCTGATTTTTGTTTTTACTCAAGTAGTTTTCTCAATAACCATAACTGTATTGATTTACAAATACATAGAGCGTTTGGATATGATTACATTTGATGCAACGCTGTAGGTGGTTTGTCATAGAATTTTGATAGTCCTGGATAATGTACTGAAATTAATGATTCAAAATCTGACGAGTAATGACTAATGAGGAAATCAATTTTCTTTAATGGATGTAAAAGCCTACTACATCCGATTCCTATTCGTTTAACTCATTGCAACATTACACAACCTTTTTTTTACTCACACTGTATACATAAACTGCAGGATGAACAAAGGTGCATTTTACAGAGTATTATCACCACATAATCATTATTATTATTATTATTACATATGGACCGAATCACAGGAATGCTGGTTGAATTACAGTCCTACCCTCGTATGATTTCCAATTTGAAATAGGCTTATCTTATTATTGTTTAGCTCTGTCTTGTTAGACTGAGATTTGAAACGTCTGGAACATTAATCAATGAGAGAGGCCCGTACTTGATCCTGAACAAAACATTAGGTTGGGTTTCGATGAAACATAAATGATTATGAAGATAAATAATAGCTCAAAAGTAAATTTAACGACGCGCTTCGTCATACCGCAGGCAATGCATGTCTTTACAATACAAATTTGTCACGAAGGGCTTTCTTTTTTTGTTCGGATAATCAGGCGCGGATCCAGGATTTCTTAGGGGAGGGGGCCCAACTTTTTTTTTTTTGCTCCCGAAAATTTGAAAATCGCGCCGGCCGAAAAGTCGCTCAGTGGGGGGGGGGGGGGGGAGGGGGGGGGGGGGGGGGAGGGGGGGGGGGTAAAGAGCACATTTTTTTTTTTTTTTTTTTTTTTTTTTTTTTTTGCTCCCGAAAATTACGCGCCGGCCACAAATTCGCTCAGTGGGGGGGGGGGGGGGGGGGGGGGGGGGGGGGGGGGGGGTAGTGAGCACATTTTTTTTTTTTTTGATCCTCAAAAAAAAATTCAATTTGCACCCCCCCCCTTGAGCGCCAGGGGGGGGGCCCAACCCAAAAAAAGGTAAAAATCACGTGATTTTACATGATTTTTTTCTCACGGGGGGGGGGGGGGGCCCGGGCCCCCCGGGCCCCCCCCCCTGGATCCGCCACTGCGGATAATAACTTTCCGCTTTCCAAGGAACAAAATTTAAGCTTTTTACAAATCTTGTGTAAAACAGTCATTGGTAATATAATTTTAAAAAAAAGCATTTTGAGGTATATTTCGTCTATGAAATATGTATGGCAGGTATGAAATAATAAGGCACCTCACTGCCAAAATATTAGAAGCTTCATTATCATCGGGGAAGGGGAGGGGAGGGGAAGGAGAAGGGAGGGGAGGAGAGCTGCAGCTTGATCAGAAGTTGTATTCTGCGGAGTGTACTGTGCTTGTATGTGGTAAACATATACGGAGACGCAAATGGTTGACGGAATTATTGCTACAAAAAAACAAAACCTTAATCAATAAAATCCTGGAGATTATATCAAGTGTGTGCTTAAAGTGTAGTTGTGTGCTTGTAAAAACTGCTTTATAAGAAGTGTACAGACTCATGCACATGTAAATATGTCTGAAATCATGGCGTGAAATTATATGAGCACCATTTTGTAAATAATTATTTCTATCTTCATTTCACTGATTATTATTGAGTTGTAATTTTGTTGTTATTAATGATATTTCATTTGACAAATTATATTGCTATAAATTGCTATCACATATCTTAATGGATTGCAGCATAGTGATAAAAATAAAAAAAATATATATTTCTCTATGGATATGTTTGTATGTTTGTGCAGATGTGGGAGTTTATATGTATAGGCCTATAACATACATGTGTATATCTTATGATTGTTCAGACGATAGAGGTTTCTATTGTCCCTTGGATAATGCTACTCCGAATGGGGGAATAAAGAGAAAAGGGAAGACAAAGAGGAGGAAAGAGGTGAAAAATGATATAATTGACGTGTAGAGACAATGAGAGAGAGAGAGAGAGAGAGAGAGAGAGAGAGAGAGAGAGAGAAGAGGTAGGTAGACAGAGAGACAGACTGAGAGACAGGGAGAGAGAGAGACGGGGAGGGGTGGACGGAGGGAGAGGGGATAGAAAAGAGGAAAGAGAGAGAGGGGAGGGATGGACGGAGGGAGAGGGGTTAGAAGAGAGGAGAGAGAGAGGGGGGGAGAGAGAGAGGGGAGGGATGGACGGAGGGAGAGGGGATAGAAAAGAGGAGAGAGAGAGAGGGGGAGAGAGAGAGAGGGGAGGGATGGACGGAGGGAGAGGGGATAGAAAAGAGGAGAGAGAGAGAGAGAGAGATAGAGAAGGGGTGGGTAAGGAGAGAAAGAAAACAAAGAGATGGGCGGTATGGCGCAGATGAAAATTGTAATAGATGAGATAATATTAGTACTTATACGCATTGTGTAGTGGCTGTCCTATTATTGAAGGAACACTGCATGGTCTTTACGAACTTTGTGAATGTCCCAACATAAATAAAAAACTTTGTGAATGTCCCCCTGTATTTTCTCTCCTTTCGCTGTCTGTCTCTCTGTACCTGTGTCTGTCTCTGTGCGTGTATCTCCCCCTCTGTCTCTCCCTCTCTCTCTCTCTCTCTCTCTCGCTCTCCCCTTTCTATCACACTCTCTTCTAAGTATTCGGCATTTGTCAGAGGTGTGCCCCGGTATTCACCACTAGAATACATTTAAAAAAAATGATTGTTGATCATTCAAACACTTTGGCCGGGTATGTTGTAGTTATCTCTAAAATTATGAATAGTACCTTCATTTTGTATTGCATACAGTGACAAGACGAAGTCGCACTTGCACTTAGACAAATACATAGGCCTAATAAGTTACTGAAGCAACCTTTAAAAATCGTTTAGGAATTAACAACGTAATTAATATTATGATATCAATTTGTAATGGTCTAAAGAACTGAGAGTGAGTGGCCTTGGACATCTCTTTGTTAAACATTTCCAGGGTTTCATCGTTGTGACAACATGATAAATCAAACACCATTATCTCTTTTGCTTTGCTTTCACAATCAGAAACTTTCGATCACCACTGTAAACTGAAACAAAAATCTCAGAGGGAAGTTTATCAGTTACATCGACATCAGGCAGTCTGTATATACTTTAGTGTTGCTCTTTACAATATGTGCAATACGACAAACGGAAGAGAGCAGTAATTTCATAACAACGATGCTTTTATAGATTTGATATTGATTACTAGTATATGTTTTTGTGTTGTGATTTAAACAAACTTTGTCGCAATGTCGTACAACGATCAATTTGCTATACGGGGTGTCGTCTGGGTGATTTTGTGCTATTTCCTATTGCTTTCAGAAGGTAAGTATACTAAATTTTCCATGACACTGTGTCATAGACAAATAAAAAGGAATGCGATTGGGTGATGTAGTTTGCTGCTGCAGAAATCAGAATAGTGGTCATTCTCTAATCTGTTGTTTGTATTTGAATGTATTTTATGCTGTTTGCGTAAAATACTCATTAGGAAATCAAATACCGATATAACTGATATATAACCTTCTTCAAAAAGGTTTTAAACATATATTTATGCCTAGACAGTAGTGGTGCAATCGAAAGTATTAGACTATCAGTTATACATCAACAGCGATAGACAACTTGAGGTGACAATGAAGAAAAGGAATAATCAGAAATTAAAGAGGTTGATGATTAAGAGATGGATATGGAGAGGAATAAGAAGAATTAAAAGTAATATACAATATGTCAATAATTTCTGTTACCAAGTATTAATATTTATCATGAAGAACCTGATAGATAATCTAATATATCTTATGATAATGTCAGTAAGTACAGTAAACGCTCATTTTGGCCTTTTTATGTTATAGTTCTATATATATATATTGTTGTAATGGTAATTAAATTATAATTCTCACTTACGCTTCTAGATCATCGATAACCACAGTCCATGTCTAAGGAAATTCGCAGCATAAAAGTGTTGTAGGCGCTCCCATCTCAAAAGTTTCTCATGTTATGATTTCTTATAACATTTAATATTATGAACAATTTAACCCTGATCTGGGTTTTTTTTCTGTTCTCGACAGGGAACGAGATAGTGCTCCAACCAAATACCGATGATGTGAGCATAACACCGGCCACCTTCCCCAACGTGAAAACGACCAGTAGCTCATCAGTCACCATCAAGGCCCCAGAGAAGCATAGAGGTAATCATGCTCAGCTTGGTTACCAAATCAGAATCAAATGGGCAGTAATATAGTTCATTATGAGCCCAGTAGAAAGGCGATAAGAATTATTACTTAACAATTGAAAATTCTGCAGTTACTGTTTTCTTCCCCTACTCATGAGGAGATAATAGAATGTATGTATGTCTAAATAGCAGAGGCCAAATTAATGATACGATTATGCATGGAAAATTTAATTTATATTATATTCTGACTTTCGTTAATGAGAATACTATGTGGGTTCATCTTCGGGCAAGAGATGTCAGTCCGACTAGAATCGTGCTCGTTCATGAATAACATGAACGACCTAGCTGACTTTGGTATTGTGGTATAAACAAAAGTAGTCAGTAAATGAAAATAACGACATTTAGATGATCAATGATAAAATAAGTATCTCAATGATCAACTTAATGACAAATATCAACGTTTCTGTAAGTGCTACGAAACAAAGATATACAGAGGAAACTTCAAAACAACTTATTCTGATTATAAGATGTTGAATGAATTCAAGCAGACGAGTTCAACGCAAATCAGAAGAAAACAAAAACACGATCCTCAATAAGTAATCCACTCCATCCTCACTTCACAACCCCTTTTCACTTTTTGTTTTCCTTTCTATTTCGTTGTATGATTAGGATTCATGGAAATTATCGAATGTACCTACAATTTCAAACAAGTTGCAATATCAACAGTTTATTAGATATCTGCCTAGCAGCATCACACAACCAAATGTAATATATAGACAACGATTGTAAACGTATTTATGATAAGTCTACAATGTAGACATAAATGAAAGGAATAGCTGATAATTGCTCTTTCTAATTTCACTCTTCAACAAAGATCTTCTCCATTTTTCTATATCCTCTCCTGTGCCCACCTCTGTTCACTGTCTCTCTGTATTCCTAATGTTCTCCAGTGCACACCCAGACACGTCTTATCTCATGAATTCCCTACCTTCTGTTTCATTCGTCAGTCCTAGTGAAGTTCCTGACAGTCCATCTTCAGGGAGGAGATCGTCTTGCATTCTACAACAAAATCGGAGAAGGTAGTTTCTCTCAAAGACTCCTGACGGTATCCAGGAGGATCAACCCTCCACCCCCTCATCTTATATCACCAGGGCAACAGCTCCTCATCACATTGTCTCACAATTCCCATCAGACTGATGAAGAATCGTTTGTTCTAAACGCAACTTTGGTCGAAGATAAAGGTAATGCTTTATGTATTTTTTTTAAATTTTATTAATCCCATTTAGTCTTTGACTTTCCTTTACTTTACCATTGTTCTGCTATTTGATTTGTAAATTTTGATACTCGGCTTCTGTTAGTCTGCATGTTGTATTTTCTTTGTTGATGCATTGTATTCTGCTATACTTCACTGCTAGATTTTGGTTATGTACTGTAATTACACGATAATAAAACATATATCAACATCTCTTTTCGAGCTGACAATACAACCTACGTAGCAACCAGAAGCGATGTGTATACTGGCAAAAGTCCAAAATCGAAACTTCGTTATTCCAACGAATTTATACTGCGCCGTCTTGCTATTAAGGTGACAAACAATTAATATTTAAAACATTCGAATTTCATTTAATAAGCGAAAATGTTAGGGGTGGGGGGGGGGGGGGGGTTAGCAGCAGTAAATGGGTTCATGGGTTGTCCATTTTAATATAAGTAAAGTAAAGCCTTGTCTGTACTAATCCTGTAAACTTTTATTTTATAATCTCGAACTAAAGCCTCAGCCTTGAAGATCGGTCCTGGAGAAACGCGCAACATGACTTCACCATCATACCCTGAAAACTATCCCCGTTGCACCTTCTCCTTCAACACCATAGAGGCGCCGATTGGTTGCAGGTTGAAATACCATGTTTTAGACCACAACATCGCACCAGGAGACACTCTGTGTATCAGTGAAAGGAAAAGAGCTGTGAACACGGAAGATTGTGACGTACGAATTGGGGCTATCCGAACACTCTCTGGAAACTTTGCATCTCTCTGGTTCAGCTCAGGTTTATCATCGACATGGAAAGGATTCTTCGTTTCATTCACGTCTATTGGAGAGACAGGTAAGAAAACAGTGAGTGATTCGGAATTTAAGACATTCTTTGAAATGTCGTTTCCAAGTCAAACATTGTTATTAGTTACTAATACTTCATGCACTTTGTTCTTCTACGTATAAACTAGTAAGGCACTGTTTATGAAATATTAATTATATTGTTATCATAATGAAAATCTTTTGTTGTTATAATTAATGTCAGTAATTTCAATTTAATGACATTGTGAATAGTACGAATTAGATTCTTTAAAAAGTAGAGAATCGGTAACTATGGCAAGTCTAAAGGCTCTAAGCATAAATTGCGATACGATTTTTGTTGCTGTTAAGAACGTAAGCTTAGAATTGTTTTCCGCACATTTTATGATATTTCAGATAGCACACCTTGTATCCGGCCTTCCCGCGGTCTCACACCTGCACCACGTGACCAGGATTCAAATACAGCCAGCAAACCGACGAGGAAGAAGCGAGCAAATCAAAACAGTGACAGAGGCACTTCTGAAGACACATCTCAGTAAGTAGGGGAAATAAGTACAATTCACACGCTTCGGAGTGAATAGTTCACTCCCATTAACACCCTTTGCCGTGATTTAAAACTGATAACATTTGTGCCTGGTTAATACATGTGTAATAAGATATTTTTGTCTTGTTATTATATAAAGTGTTCTACATTTGACTTCCTTTGATGTAAAAAGTATACGTTATACACCTTAAAGTCTGTTTTTCATTAGTTATGACACAGTTATGACAACCAAGTTGTGAATTCTTATATTGCATATACTACTGTAAAATTTATAGCGTTTCCATCGCATTTTTACATCGTAGTTATTTTGACGCCGTCAAAATGATATTCTTTTTATAATAGAAATTATGGCGCGTTATAGATATATTATATAGTTTTCTTCAGAACAATACAATTTTGTACAAATACTTGATGTGCATACGTGTTTGCTAAACAATCTTTCCTCGCTTTTGAAATACCATGTTTTTATTTTACGTGGATGCCGTTGTGACCCGTGCGTTGCTTTGTTTTTCTTCTCCTTTCTGTCTTACCTAAATCTAGCGATCAGACCGATACGGCCACCACAGCACCGCCACCCTGGTACACATACCCTCTCTTGCACCTTGGCGGAGTCCTCCTGGCAGTCATGGTGATAGGAGTGTTCCTCAACCAACTCATACGACATCTCATGGATCTGTGCTGCCAGAGGAAGGACGTTACCATGACAACCACATCCGTTGAACATAGGAGCTGCTCAAGATCCAAGTCTCGATGCTGTCCTTCCTGGAAGCTGGCAGATAGAAGGTCTAGTTACGTCGTGAACAAGCTTGGAAGCAGCTTCGATGACCTGGTCCACGCAACCCGGACACTGGATAATAGTTTGGGACATACAGGCAACGAGGAAACCGACTACATAACCATGGGGGTAAGAGCATGAAAGATTTGAAGATTTAACAAAGGTATAATTGTATTCTATAAACAATCAAACCAGCTCTGTATTTGAACTGCCTCTTTTAAGACCTTAACAACAAGATATTTGATGACATAGTAAGTATTTGTGCGCTTCTAGACCTAAAACAAATACATGTATCTAAAAGTGCCTTCTATTGTGTTGTATTGATAATATCTTCAACAGAAAATAAGGACATCGAGAGTCCCACCTCAAAGGAACCCATCTGCTGTGTCAGAGACATCTCGTAGAGACATCAAGACACCTGGTACAGAGGGATGGACCATTGCTGGGACAAACAGGCATGCACCTGACAGAGGACTGGTCAAGCAAAACGGCGTGCCTGAAGCTACCACCAACTCTGATGACCCTTATCAACAGTCCCATGATTTTGTCTCGACACGACGCGGGGATGGCAAGCCTGCACCAACTCTGCACAGGAAATCACAGAGTTCTCTCTTGGAGGGCGATACATACATCACTGGAACATTCGTTAGCCCTGTCAGTCCTGGCTTGAATGCGCCTAACCTGACTGTTTTCAAACAGCCACCCGTTTCACACGTGCGACTGAGGGACAAAACCTTCAATTCGAAGGCTGCATTAAACAAGAGAGCCAGCATTTCCATGTTCGACCTCACTTGTAATGATCTAGAGGACGACGTCGGCTTGGATACACAGTTGAGTCTTGAATATCACAGGGATGGGCAAAATACTTCAGCTACAGTCGAACGACGAGGTTACAACCCAAGGACGGAGGCTTCTCTCACGAGACGCAGAGAAAACGACCAGTTATTAAGCTCATCTACAGATTCCTTATCATTGACGTATGCTGACGACAGAGGTCAATGCTACTCACCAATTGAACAGGTAAATGAACGCGCATGTAAGGTAAAACAAATGTAGGTGACGGACGCCATTTTGGAAATTACTGAATGTTGGCCTACGCAGGGGCGGATTCAGCAGGCGGCAGGGGAGGGGGACAATTCTTGAGAAAATATTAAGCGGCGAAACAGCCGACCGATAATTCGCTCAGTGGTGGGGGGGGGGGGGGGGGGGAAGTGAGCCCTATTTTTTTTGTTGGCCCTCGAAAATTTAAAAAATTGCACCCCTCCTCCTTGAACGCCAGGGAAGGGGGCCCATCTCCAAAGAAAGGTAAAATTAACGTGTTTTGTACACGTTTTTTCCCCAGGGAAGGAGGCCCGGGCCCCCGCCCCTGGATCCGCCACTGGGCCTACGATGGCACCACTTTAAATTGCATCTGTCTGTTTCTTTACAAGTTGTGTGACCTGTGTTAGACATTATTTATATATAAAAAGTGTATATTTTGCGGTATATATTCATGATGTAGGGAGTCGAAGTTGATCGTGTAGCAGTTTTAAATTGACCTTAGCAACATATTTTGGAAACAGTATACTTATATAGATAATTTCTTTAATAACTATTTAAAAAATATTCCAAGGGAATAATAGATATTTCTGCTGAATCCCATGCCACTGTACAGTTCCGTCTAGAAGCAAATGATTTTTTGTCTCTTTTTTTTCTCGCTCTTTCATTTCCTTGTTCACTAGGATGATCGCTACTCTTCAGCAATGGCCAAGTTTGACGTCTTGTGCAGTAGTTTACAAGCGGAAGCAGAGGGACTAAACCCTGATTTGACAGCATATGCCAACCTTCCACCCGTAAATCGGAAGCGCTTTGTTGCTGCGAGGAGGCCTGACAGAGCGAAACCAAAGTACTTGAACGTTTCGAAGGTTGTTCGAGCTGTCTCTACTTCTGCGCACGACCTAACCGTTTCATCGAATTGTACTGACATCGATGGTGAGTGGGTGATTTATTTAGCCTATTCAGACTAGACCGGATGCATACGAAGCTCTTTTAAAGATTGAAGGCTCGTATACCGGAAGGGTCGTACACACTCGAATAAAATATTCATATGTAATTAGTTCATAATACATCAACTTCATTCAGCTTATGGTCGTTATAATTTCCATACGTTTGCCTAATCTCTCTAGATAATCTGAAGTTCAGAGGATTTTTTTTTTGTCCCTTCAGAAATTTGGTTTTCATTGGTAATAGTTTACAGAGATCAATTTACAAATAATAATCATAATCATAGACAATTGCAGTAATGGTAAACTCAACTCATAACAGCTTTAGTTGGCTAAGTTACATGAAATAAGTTGTATGAATTTATGGGTTCGTTTGTCGCACAAAAGTGATATCTACCATTTTAATGAGTCATCTCTCTAACAAGGATAACATTGTGTTGTTCGTAGCATGTAAGATTGGTACATGTTTAAGAAAGAATTTCCATTCAATTTCATTGACAATTTACTTATATTAACGTATACCTATCTTATCATTAACATGAACACACTAGATGGTACGAAGAATCACCCCGTGGACAACCTAGGCCTTTCAAACACCACCTCACAGGCGCCACCTAAATCGAACTTGTTGAGCACCTTCCTAAGGAACCCTGTTTCAATGAAGAGAAGCGTAACCACTTCTGGAGACGTTCAGACCACACGCGACAAAGACCGTGAAGTCTCCGCATACAGAAGTTACTGTGAAATCGATGACATAGAACCAGGATGTGGGATGGAGTACTTAGGGAATCCTAATGACCCTCAGGGGTACAATCTTACAAACATTCGTCTTGATAACAAATTGGAATAAGTAAGGCTTAACCTTAAACTCAGGTTCATCATCCTCAGGGGTACAATGTAACAAAATTTCGTCTTGATATCAAATATAATAGTGCCCCACGCGTTTTCAAGTACCCCTAAAGTGCCCCTTTTTACATATAAAAAGAGCCCCCTTTTACTTAAGATAAGTGTCCCTGTTTATTTCTAATAGGTGCCCATTCTACATTCCTATACGTGCCCTTACCACCTTTGATAAGTGCCCCTTCACCAATGATAATTTCCCATATTCAAATCTGAGAACAAGTTCCCTTTTACTTTAACAAGTGCCCTTTTCTTTTGTAATAAGTGCCTCTTCTCCTTCTGACAAGTGCCCCTTTTCATCTCTGATGATTGCCCATTTTCATCTGATGAGTGTCCCTTTTCACGTTTGATAAGTGCCCCATTTTTTATTGAAAATTGCCCCTTGTTTTTTCTAAGTGCCCTTTTTCCTTCTGATAAATGCCCTTTTTCTTATTTTGATAAGAGCCCCTTCCCCTTCTCATAAATGTCCCGATTCACATCTCTGATAAATACCTCTATTAAAATCTAATAGGCGCCCCTTTCCTCCGACAAGTGCCCATTTTCCTTTGTAATAAGTGCCCCTTCACCTCTTATATTTGCATTTTGTCAAGTCTGTGAGGTGCCCCCTATATTTTGACAAGTGCCTCTTTTCTTTTGTATGCCCCCTTTTAATGCTTATAAGTGCCCCCTTGTCATCTCCGGTTAGTGCCCTTATTAAAATTTGAGAGGTGCTCTCTTTAACTTTGAAATAATGGCTCCTTTTTATCTCTGATTAGTGCCCCTTTTATTTTGACACGTACCCCTTATCCTTTCTAATAAGTGCTATTTTCTTTTTGATAATTGCCCCCTTTCCGTAATGAGTGCCCCTTTTTTCGTTCTCATAAGTGCCTTTTCTTTTCGTATCTGGTGAGTGCATCTTATCAGGTGCGAAAACGCGCCCATTTTCACCTCAGATAATTCCCGTTTATACTTTAAAACATGCTCATTTTCTTTTCAAATAAATGTATTTTTTCCTTTGGATAAACGCCCCTTTTCCGTTCACCATAAAATGTACTCCTAATTTAAAGCGACTAAGAGCAAATTTTTCTTTAATTTCTCCATCTTTTATTGAAAAAAAGATAAAGTAGGTCATTCATCTTTTCAAATCAGGTTTGAATTATCGTGTAGGATAGCTGATGTGTATATAGATTACTGTTATAGTCACAACTCGCATCTAAACCTAACGCGACCGCAAGCACTTACAGAAATCGACCTAAATATTAACATTACCTTTTGAAAATGTGCGAGAATTACACAATGACTTATTACGTAATCCGTACACGTTTTCTAAAGGCATAACAACATGGAATTCAAACAGCACCTAAGTTGATTATTGAGAACTTTTGCGATCTTGTTAACATGTATATACACCTTTGGAAATTGCTGTAAATATCATAAACTGTAGAAAGTCATACATTGCTATATATAAATTATTTTAAAAAGCTCTTCACATGCTATTTGCTTCCTCAATCCCATTTGAAACATTTGATGAAGACACTATTATCTCTCCATAAAAATATTTTCCATCGCTCAATTTTCGTTGTTGCTCCATTGCTCTCCAGTCCACCGTATATTGCAGAGGATAACACAGTAATTTGCACAAATTCATGCGAGGAATGATTTGGTGATGTATTTCTTATCTATAAACCAAAAGAAAGCTGAGGGGAATTATTGCTCTGAGTTTTCAAGTTACCAAGGTACATTACCATAAACGAAAATATAGAGATGATTGTTTTGTTTTCCAGCAATGGATATATATACTCAAAACCTTTGCTTATCTTATAAGCTTTTGATGTGTAATATTATATTTTTCTTTGGGTTATGAAAATCCTTTTTTTGATATACATGTTAGTGTTTTTCCTTGTTCATCTATTGAAGGAAAGTGTACAAAATATTTTCTTAAGCACTTAAATGTATCAAGATTTCAATAATAACTAAAGAAGCATCCATAATCTATGACATATTTGATGCTTTTAAAAGAAAAAAAATATTCGGCACATTCCATTCACAAATGTGTAAATACTATATAAGTTATTCAGAGATTAGAATTGTAAGAGGTACTATAATAGTGAGGATACTTTTTCTAAACTCTGCTTGTTCTGTTATGGCTTTTAAGTAATCAAATAGATTAAAAATCGTTTTAGTGAGATGAAACTGTTCGATTTTTATATTAAATTGCTTTATTGTCTTTACAGAGTATTGTTGCTTGTATGCATTTTGCTTTTGATCGATTGATTGTATCTACCAATATAACAAAAAACATTATAGAGGATAACATATTGTGACAATATTATTTAAACAAATTGGAAGGAGCACCCTGCTTATCTGTGCCATTACAGCACAGCTATTCTAACAAGGTGTCCTACAAATATACAAAAAATTAAAGAAAATAACATAACACAAAATAAATCATTACAAAAAAACTAAAACATTCTAAATATTATTTCACACTACTGAACATGCCCCACCCAAGAGCAGACCTCATCGCCCCACCCACCCTATATTACGTTATAGTATATATTCAGGTACATTTTATTCATACATACATCATAAACGGTCAAATGTTGGGGATTTATTGGTGTAATTGTACACGACAGGAACGAATCCAGTTAGTGGACGATAATGATGTTTAGGAAAGTTTAATGATGATGACAACGAGTGTGACGATCGTGATGATGATGATTAGTATGATGATAATGGTGATGATGATGATGATGATAATGAAAATGATGATGATGATGATCAGTATCATCATCATCTTTATTAGGATGATGATGCTAGCGATAATGATGATGATAATGATGATAATGATAATAAGGACGATAATGATGATGATAATGCTGATGATAATAATACTAATCGGGTAGGCATGACGTTTGTTGTATTCATGGTTAGACTTTTCATGATAATTTGGGTGTCGATGTTGAAGTGATGGTGAGGATGAATGTGGTGGTGGTCGGTGGTGGTGGTGGTGATGTTGATGATGATAATGATGATGAAATTCGTTTTTGTCCTGCCTTATTAGAGTTTTCTCAACATGAGAAAATCAAACTCTGATTGCTTTCAATAAGTATACAAAAGTATCCGAGTTTTATGCCATTTTTACTACTGTAATCGCGGGCAAGAAGAATGTGACCTCCTTTTCAACAATGTGTTCTACAAGCCTTCTTTATAAACCATATTTTTCCTTGCCAATTGGAGGGGTATTGTGGTCTAGTGGATATGTCTTGGATCACATGGTTCGCGGTTCCAGTCCTGCCGCGGAACTAATGTCAGTTTGGCAAGATCCTACATTTTCCACTCTCCACCCAGGTGTTAAATAGGTACAGGTAGGACGAAATTCCTGGACATCGGTAGCCTAGCAGAGCCAGATATTAGAGCGTCTCGAGCACTTTGCCTGGCGGAAACTTTTATTATTGTTATTTTTATTATTATTATTATTAATTTCTCTTTAACAGAATAGGTTTTCCATCAACTTTTGAGAGCCTAGTGCTTCTATGGTAAGCGGCTGGTAGATCATTTCTTATGATCCGACACCTTAAGTTTTCTTCATGATAGAGTGCATAACTAAATATGATGTCGCAAGAAATCACATCCCGTTTAATATATGGTGATACAGAAAACCCCTCTGTTTGTTTTCGGTATATTGCAATCAATCAAAGGTACTATGTCCCATTTGCAGGAATTATGAATATGTCACGTATGTCCTATCTGTGAAAGTTAAACGTTAGCAGTGTCCTAGTATTCAAAGTATGCAAGACAACCCGTTTACTTTCTATACTCTCCTGCCAGACACTATAGAGTAACTGACTGACTCTTTTTTTTTCTTTGGTAATATTATACATAAAATGAGCTGTAAAGGGTTCATGAGCATTTGTCTACATCAATAACCAACTTTTTGTAATGGCCAATATTAATATGATTGAATCTTTGCGCAGCACAAAATGTACGACCATTCGGTACAAGGGTCTGGAAATCAGACCATTAATTAAAAGGATTGTAATCCCTCAAGTCGATTCGACAACTAACCGTCGTTATTTTCCCACAAAAAGCCCTTTCATTTTTGAGGGAAGTTCTAAATTAGTATCATCTTTCAAATGCCAGTGGAATTTAACCTTTTCATTAAATTTTGTTTGGCCCGCAATTGGGACATAGTACCTTTAAGAGAGAGAGAGAAACAAGATTGTGTTGTATTTATATTTCCTGTTGCATTAAACAAAATATTTTTTTCTTCTTTAACCTGAATATAATATATGGCACTGGTTTTTTAACTTATACCAAAATTAATGTGTCCACAAATGGGTCCAAAATGAAATTATGTTTACTCACTTCAAACTTGTATTTTTAGGATCAGGACTAATCATATTTTTGAGAAATGCAAATTCTGGACCTTAATCTATCTCCTTATTTATTCACCAGATATGAATACTTTGAGTTTTTACAATTTTATTGTAAACTATAGCATATCTAATAACTGTGATATAAAACTCATTTGCTATTAACTACACCTTTAAATATGTTGGGTCTTTAAGAATATGTTTCAGAGATTATTCATGCAAATTGTTGAGTTTCTATCTTGAAAAATACAGATTTTGTATCCCTTGAAAGTGAAAAATAGCTCCAAATTAGGGTTTTGACAATAACAAGTTTTTATTTCAATAGGTAAAATGCTTTTTTCTTAGGTCAAACTTATTTTATTATAACAACTGATGATATAAGGTAAATACATGCAAAAAAATTGGGAACCAGTGCATTGCCTAATAATTTTCAGATGGCACACCACTGATGTTTCGGACGTTACACACTGTTAACATTATAACTTTATTCAAGTTAATTGCTTTTCTTTAGGTATTATTGACCTCAGTTACATTAATTGTTTGCAGAAAAATACTTCTGTAACATTTATGGAAAAAAATTGTGCAGTTTTAATTAGTTTAGCACATACATGTATACCAAGTTTGTCTTCATCGACCACTCAATTTATGTAAGGTATATTATTCATTTCAAGAACGTGTACCGGTAGTTTAAAATGCTTATGTGATCTAACAGAGTGAAATATGAAGCTAATAGCAATTGTAGTCATCAAAACTCCTTAGAAAATTCACTTAGAAACATACTCTTTATTGCATGTTATGAACAACAGTGTGAAATGTATACTATGGTTTGTTTCGGATGTTACACGATGTTAACATTTCAATGAGATCATCAATTTCTACAAACTCTACAATATGGATGTTTAATCAGCTTGCTAATGTTCTTTGCCTTCAACTATATAGTGTGTCATTCAATAATATCACTAACACATACATGTATGTAAGCACTGAAAAATTGACAAATCTTTAAAAAAATAAAACTAT